TTTTTTTTTTTTCTTTCTTTTTCCTTTAGTAAATATTTCATTCTCCTAAGAATTTTCGTATAATCTATCTAATTGTATCGACGTCTTCTCCCGCGACCGATGACTCTATATATGCTTAACTCGATGATCATTCGCGAGGTTCTAATCGACTAACGAATTGGCACTAAATCCGATCTGATATGAAAGATATGGAAGTGCGTTGACGTTGGATGAGCATTTTCTCCCGTGGATGATAAAGCCCACGAACTTGTGCTTTGAGTTTTTCTGAAACGATTCTCGATACTCGCGCGTGCATTGATCCAAGCAACGATGCGTTGTAGATCTGATTGTGAACAGCGATACGATGGTCGAAAGTTCTCGTGACTTGGAGACGTTTCAATAATTTCCTCTCGCGTATCGGTTGCAAGATAGACGACTGTCCTTCGACGATTCAACTTTCGGAATTTACGATTCAATTTTAACTCGTATCGCGTTGACACGCTGATCGGCGTATGAGACTGTTTCTAAAATTTCTGCAAATTTTAAAACAAAACAAAACAAAAGAAAGAATAGAAGAAATTTTTACTAAAACTTCTAATTTCGAAAATTACGAATAGAGCGTGTAAATTTTTCACTGAAAAGAAAAAAAGAAAATCTACATCTACAATTTCTACGCGCACGTCCGATAGTTTGCCGATCAGTGTCTCGAATTTCATTCAAAAAATATCCGAGATTTCGCATCGATCGATTGAGATTTTTTAACCAACTATATATATATATATATATATAGTTTCGTCCCATGAGTCGAGCGTCTTTGAGCAAAAGTTTCACGTGACCGCAGAAAGGCGCAAAAGAGAAGATTTCGTTCACACTGTCCGACAATGTTTCATTCGAAAGACGCGCTCGCCGATCGGCCGATCGATCGCCGGGCGCGCGCTAAACGGAAATCGATTAGCAAGCTTCGAGTGGGGAATGAGTGCCAAAACGTAGGCTCCGTTGGAATTCGCATCGCACTCGAGGCGAATCGGGCCAACTTGCTGGACGCCTAGAATAAGGCCGAGTAAGGATTCACAACCATTCTAGATGTATAGGCTCGCGACGTATAGTTTCGACGTACGCTTCGAAACAACCGCTCAGCTCAACCGGTCCTATTTTATGCTATTTACACAACATATCTACTTCAAACGAACAAGACGATTTAGTCTGATAGTATGACATTTCGATAAATACTTCAACTGAATTATTTGCAAACCTTTATCTTCTACAGATCGTTTCACATAAGATTCGCACTGTTGTCTATACATTTGTGTACCTAAGACGGAAAATTACAATGTACTCATTTTCTTTTTTTTTAAATAATTATACACTGAACTGTCATGCAGTTTCTTGTATCGATTAATGTGCGTTAAGTATCTGGTCTCTAAGGCCAAGTTGGCGCTTTATGAAACTCATTGTACAGCAGATAGATGGCGAAAGTTTTCAGATCGTTTTAAATGAATAATTAAATGAATAAACGGATCGTTGCCCGCCGAATTTATCACTCGAATTCGCTCGCTGGGTCGCCGGTTGTTTCGCAGCTCGTGAAACGCAGATCGCTCGTCCTTTTCGAAAAACCGAACTGAAAAACCGATATCTACAATGCTATAAACTACGACGCGCGATGCGTGCATGCGTGTGCACCAGCGCTTTACGCAAATATACATTTGTTCGTTCCTATCTAGAGCCACGAGGTACGACACGCGTCCGCGTAAAAAATTTGTAACAATCGTTATAACCGATCTCGTTACTAATCGACGATCGATTATATTCACAGACTTAGCTTACAGGCTAAACTTAAAACCTACGAGTTTTATCATTTTGGTGCGAAGACGTATCCTGGGAGGCGATCGCGTCACTGCCTCTGCATTTCTCACGTTTCGGTTCGAGAATTTTCGAATATTTACGCGCTCGCACATTGCAAAAATAGCTGTTTTAGATTCATCTTCTAATCTTGCGTTTTCGTCACGCGAAAGCACTACGATCCACGTGTTTATATTTTGATATATTTTTCCAAGTCGAAAATATCCTCTCCGTCTTGTTCTCCTTAACCTCCGTCGCTGAGTATAATTAACAATCGATTTATTCCCTTTTTTCTTTCTCTTCAAACGTTCGAAGTAGAAAGTGTACGCGCCGAACTGATTGTACTGACGCGTACACTCGCGTGACACGAGCCTGCACAGGATTTTGATTATTTTTCTCTCATTGTCGAAAATACTGCCGACAAATCGATTGTTCCTCTTTCCGTAAACGTACGAAGTTTATCCTCGTTTTCGTCGATCGTCAAACTCGGATACACGCAGATCTGGGTAAAATGATATTTCGCAGAATTACGACATTCCCAAGTGTGTGTGTCACTTCCTTTCGACTGTTTGAAATATTGCTCGAAGCAATCGTGAAACGTCCGAACCGATACCGGGTGATGTGCCGCTTCGAAAAATATTTCGTCGTTCCGAGAGAGTGATCGAACGATCCTAATCTTTCTCTCGGTTTCTCTTCCTTTTATTTCTTTACGTTAGTGTTCTTATCTCTCTATCGTCTCGAATGTCATCATTTTACCCGAGTCTTACGTTAAACACGACTTACAAATACGTACATCGCTTATCCTATTACGAACGAATGCTGCGTTGAGAAACGTGCCACTTGAATATATATATATATATTTTTTTTGTTCCTTACGTTAAAAAGTTATCACGTTGCAGGAAGGCGCACCTTGTTACATCGTAAATTACAATTTCTGAACATCGTTCAAAATACTGGTAGATGATCGAGACCGAGTTCGCCGCTCGATTAACCAAACATACTTCGCCGCGGTAAATTCACCCTCTCTTACTTTCTCTCTATTTCTCCCCTCCGCTCACAGTTACGGTTTATTGCGCGTCGTATATAAAAATCTCGGGAAAGTGAGTACGCTCGATATCGAAGAAAACGTCGCGCCGATCACGCGACTCGAACAACAATTACGCGGCATTGATCGTTTCCGTTTTGGTTGGCCAACGGCAACTCGTTGTAAAAATATCGCACGTGTGTTAATTCACGTAAGCGGCAAGCACAATGTTTTCGAAAAATATTTCCGACGACGCTATCGATGAACGATCCCACGTCGTGCGGTCGAACAGTAACGACATCTTAAATTAATTTTCGGCCTGTATTGCGCTTCGTCTTGCTGAGAATCACCTTTAGAAAGGGATTATTTTGCTCGCGACCGAGGGCGTATATAACGTTAATTTTGATTTATTGCAAGTTCATAGGATGGGGGAAATAATTTGATTAGAATCATGTTTAAGAGAATCGAGAGAACGATCCGAGATAGATAGATAGATTTAAAGGAGCCAAATGTTAGCATTAGGTGTACCCAATTTTCTTTAATTGTAAAGCAATCGATTAGGCGCAAGTGCAGTTGCATCGCGATAGGCTAAGATCGATCGGAAGTAGTAGAAGTGTAAACAGGGTCAGACAGGAGCTGACGCAAGTTACGTAGAACGAATTGCATTCTCTGTTCGTTGCTGCGAATTTTCCTTGACGCTGCTATTGCTTTCGAACGATCGCTTTGACATTTCAACGTGAAGCACGCTCCACGACGATTTTTCAGTAATTGCTTCGGCGTCACTCCCGCGCTGGGGGGTGAGCCCTTGGTAGCAGTCAGTATTCCTCCTCGTCCTCCTCGAACTCATCCTCTCCCAGGATGCTATACGAATGCAACAGAAAACTTGTGATAGAAAATACAGCAGGGTCTCTTTGTCGAACTGAAATCGCAACGATATTGCTTCGAGGAATTATTTCTTTGGTCCAAAGGAACGTGAAAATTGAAATATTAATTTCTTGCAAATATATATTAATTCTTTGTGATTTTTTTCTTCTTTATTCCTTTTGCTAAATATTAGTACTTCTGTCTCGGGATTTTCGCGATTATCAAAAATATTTTGGTTATGACAAGCACGAACTGCACCGAGTGACACTGTGAAACTGTCTTATTATTATTAATTGTGAGAAGAAGGATGATAATCCCTCGAAGCAATTCTATAACGCAGATAAGGTTTATAGGTCTATAAGCTTCTAGCCTCACTGGGCACTGCATACATACACGTTACTTACTCTTCCTTCCTCGCGTACTTGTCAATCAAGTTACGACCTGGTCCTCCGCAATTTTTGCCCATTGGTGGACAGTACCAATAACACAACACGCCGAGGGACACTCCGAAAAGTACTGTAGGAACCACCAAGGCTAGCACTAGATGCCTCAGGTTTTCATCCCAAGAATACCTACAAATATATCCACAATGTTACGATATAGTTCAATAATTTGTCATCTAATTCTCATCTGACCGAATTAACAATCGTTTCGTTATTTCGAGATATCATTACTTTTAGATTTCTCCTAGGTGCGTGTAAATTTTTTCGTTTGTCGTTCTACGTTCGTAAAACGCATTGCAAAGGACGGCGTAAACTTATTGAGCGACCTACCCTCATTCGCGAGAACCGAACAGAAATTGATTCGTCTTTACAAACCACTTTTTGTTCCACGATTATATAAAGTTTTCGCTTCAAAGAATGGCCCGATTAACAGGCGGAAAAGTACACGTGGATCGACTTGTTGGAATTACACAGTACGAAACGAGGTCTCGTTTTCTAATTATAGAATCGCGTGTAATTCTGTCGTTAGTGGCGGATATGTTAATCGCGAAGACGCGTGGACAGTGAAATTTCTAGAAAAATAAAATTATTCGCGGTAAACTGTCAGCAGAGGCCGTCATTTCCCACGAATGATTTATGGTATATATCGGAAATCAAGATGGCAGTGCGGCACTGCGTTCCGCATTTAGTTCGATTCGCCGCTGACATGGCACGTTTCGTGCTTGCGCTGAGCGTATTTGTCACGAATACAGGCGCAATTACAGCGTAAATTATACCTTGCGACGACAGTCTCTGGGTTTGTCCTGCTGTAATAGCAGGGGAATATCTTCCCCATGTTGGAATATCCGTATTTCTTGGCAAAATCGGAACAGTTCACTCTCGGTGGGTAACCGCAGCCCTCCGTGTTCACGAAGAATTTCGTGTCCGGCATGTCCCACGGTATCGAACCACGAGGCTTCGCCATGAATTCTTCGAACATCAATCTCGTGTAATTCACTCGGATCTGATGGCAACGAAGCGCCGCGCTGGTACAACCTGCGATCGAAGAAATCTATTAACAGATCTGCATACAAATAGAATAGCAATTACACGCCGTGATTAAAATCAACGAACGTGTTACAAATTTATATCGGTTCGTTATTGTTGGGAAAAACTACTTCAAAATTATTCGCTATACAGCTTTTATAGAACCTCTGAATATGTCTCAAAACTCTCTCAGGCAGAAGCAGAATGAAACAGAAAATGGAGAAAAATCCGGCGTTCACCTTCTCTGCAGCTTGCCCAAGAGCAATTCTTCAATCCCTCGGCGTAGACGTGGTCGGTGACGACGCAGGCCACGGCGTGAGGAGAGAAATCGGCCAAAATCGTGGAGATCGCCGGCTCGACGACGAAAGGGATTAGAAAAAGGAAGGCGAATACGGCGAGAATGGCTGTGCTGCCCAGGCAAAGGGACGTGTAGAACTTGGCCTTTTCCACGAGGGACGCAACTTCCACTACCGGTAGCACGCCACCGATAGTGCTGGATTTCGTGTCCTCTTCCTGGGCGCCCATGATTACCGTTGACTCGTCGGAATCAATGATTGCTCTCTTGTGCGGGTCGCTTGGACCCTGTTCGTTCAAGTTCGAAGAAAAGCTTCCGTCGTCTGAAATTCTTCCTTTCGATTTCTCGCGTCGAGGAATCGCTTATCTTCATGCAGATAGCTTACACGACGAATGCTTTCTTCTTCAAGTAGTTCCTCAGGTAGTTTTCAAAGCTTTCGACCTGTCGAATTGTCAAATTCGTCCCTGCTCTCGCTATGAATCGTCGACTTTGATTGTTCGATTAATCATGCGACAAGCATCGAATACTTTCCAATGCGACGTGTTTCCCAGATATCTTTTCTTCGCAGGCTTGTTGTTGCCAACTGTGCAGCAACGATCGTCCCAGATCGATCATTTACCAGCAAGGCACGTCCTTCGGTTCTCAAAGTGGTTTCTGTTGCAGTGTCGGTGTGATTACAATAAAAGTTGCTTAGCCTCGAGTTTACTTAGCAGAGCTATATGTAATAAGTGGTTCTTATCTACTGTCACGGCGAATCAATCAGAAGGGGGACACTTAAAAACTACCGACGAATCTCTTGTGTCACGTGTAAAAGACGCCGAATTGTCTGTTTTTCGTATCCTTTTCTATCTGTTTGCTTTCCGTCGTATCCAAAAGATGAATTGGTCGAGTCCAGATTCAGGATCCTTCTCCGTGTTCTTGTCAGAAGCAGAAGAGAGACAGGCGAGAGCTGTGTCGCGCATCCGGTCGTACGAACTTTTCCAAGCGATTCATCCGCGCATGCACAAACGGTGACGCGGATATTTGAACAAAAAAGCACGTGCGCTCCCGAGAAGTGTTCCTTTTTTTATTTTTATTTTTTTTTTATTTTCTATTTTTTGCGTGCAGGCAGTGCAGGTTGGAAAAAGTCTCGTTTGCTTTCTTTTCTGTTTTTTCTTTCT